TGTAAACAATAGTGTAGCCGAAATCTTCCTTAAACTCTGGCGAACGTGATTTGACAACAGATTAGGTTCGGTTCAGAGAGAAAAGTAGATGATAACAAATAGCTGAATGATGTTTCGCACAATGATAATACCCAATAATAAGCAACCCAATTTTCCGGAACCTGATTCCCTGGCAAGTTTATTCAAAGGGTTTTAGATGTAATACCAGATTTATGCGATATTCCAAAATACTTTTCACTTGAGACAGGGATGAAGGTGTGTTTAGACATACGAAAAGTAATAACAATCTTGCGCTTTACATAAGGTGGAAAACTTTATTTTGCCAATATCCATTGAATGATGAAACCTTGCGTTCTCCATGTTCCAATAATTCTACTGACACTCTCATACTATTTTTGATCATTAGATTACCACTTCTCCTTCGGTTAGGTTGGTGCCGGTCTTTCCAGAACTGGCGACAACTAATATCATGTGATTGTCGCAGTCTTGAGCAGATGTGTACTGTTTGAGCAAACTGTGGTAATAGGAATCTACCACCACTAGTATCTTGATTTGAGATGAAAGCACTTCTCAGATCGATGTGCGGCTCGATCAAATTATAACATGTTCACCGTGTGCATCTCCGTTTGTTGTGATACAATCACGTGTTTATTAAATCTGTGCTTTCTGGAACTATGTATTGGCAACTGATCCTTGCGTTAAAGGCCTGCTTTCGTAACCGTATTTTTTCTACAGCTATATACTGCCATACGAACCTGTACTGCTTGTACTATTCTGATAATAATTTGCTGCCTCTTTGTATCACCGAATAAGTTTCAATTAATCTTCGTGAATGAGGTGAACAATCAAAGGTCTAACATGAGAAAGTTTATGACAGTGATGCGATCTAAACAAACTAAATTTGGGACAGTTCGACGATCATTCAACTGATCATTGTCAGCCGAAACGGATGGCCAATCCCACACTCGAATAATCAAGTCATAAAACATAAGCGGGAAGATTATGAAGTACGCTCAACCGAGTACCGCGTTTCACCAAGATGCTAGCAGTAGATTAGCATGAGAAACGTCATCGTCTCATGGGAATCCTGGATCCATTTATTCATCACATCAATATAGAAAGATGACGCAAGTCGTGAGATGTCAAAATTTCGTTTAATCTCCGTAATCGCCAACGTCAAAACAAACATGACGCATATGTATAGCGCAACAGATTGTTAAATCCTGTTGAACGAACGTGGACCGATAAACTGGGGCTATTCAAATCAAATGTAAGAGGTCAGCTCCACCGCAAGCTAAATGATTATTATTATTATTGACTTTGGGGTGCATAAAATGGGATGATGTAGTCTGAATTATTACACCTCACTAAATACTAAGCCCTTCACTTTGCGGTTACGCAATAAAGGTTAGAACGAGGAAGTGGGATATTTATATGACGGTTGCAATGAGGACAACAACCAGACTGTGTTCACTTTTCTCTCTGTATCAGTATGCTATGCTAAATAACCCTGATTTGCCCGGAGCTGAAAATCCATCCACTTATTACTTATTGAATGAGAGTAATAGAGGATTTGGTTCAATTTCATATGTTGGATTCCTCGTGTGTAGAGTAAATGAGGCGTGAAGTGAAAAGCTGTTTCAGCTGTTTCAACCTATTCGAATCTCATCAGCGGTGCAAATCCATCGACCCAGTCAATAACAAGCTGGCAAAGATGGACTGTACTATTTCGTGTAGATGGAAAATGAAAAGAAAACGCCCTGATCAGTTGCCCAATGGCCGAGTGGGTAACATGCCTGCGTTCTGCCTGTGATGTCCCGGCTTCGATTTCCAATGGCGTCGATGGATTGGCATCGCTGATGAGACCCAACCAGGTTGAAACAGCTGTCCAGTGCTCCTTAGCTTTTCAGTTCACGCTTTATTCACAAGACGGATTCCCCACAGAAAATTCATTATTTGAAAAGACTAAAATATTGAACTCACATTTCTAGGTTGAACTGAATTTTTGATATCAGAACTATATGAAATTCTGCAGAATAGCAATATCCGATTATCCCTTATATGGACAATAGATGAGTCAATGTTCATTGATTAAATAAAAAAGAAAAGCTTTCCGTTGTTACTTCATGAAATTCCAAAAGATTAATAAATAAATTTAAACAAAGAAAACAGTTGTAGTATGCAGGGACCGACCCCAGACCGGAATCCAATCGAAACACTGACAGCAGGTTGACTCCGGGCAACGCCGTTCGAAATCTTGAAACACTAGCGTCATACCAAAAGGCCGAACAGTCCCTGGCCACTAACTGACGCTCTCAGTGCACAGGTAGGACACACCCCTCGCAGTAGGTTTTCCGTGGAGGGGGATTCCAGTTACCTGCAAGACAGGAAAAATACAAAAGCAACCCTGAACCAAATGGGTCCAGTGAGACATGCAGACGACTCACACTAAATTTGAAATGGCTATGCCCGTGGTTTCACTACACAGTTACTCCAGAATTACACACCAGTGAATTTCTTCTAAATAAAAAACAAACTGATAGTTTCTCTTTGATCCAGTCAAAATGCCTTGAACAAAAGAGCCTTCGGATTTGAAAGCCGCTAGGCTGCACGTTGGTTTTCAGTTCCCTGCTGTAAACAGTTTTATAGTTGGAGAACACGATACTCAGTAATCGGTGTGGGTGCTCCGACAATTTTTCATTCATTCAATTTCTCAGGCGTAAGTTCGCTCACGAACATTTGATGGATGCTTGAGTTCCTCGCTCACCTGAAACTGTTATCCATGGATATTCTGATCCCCAAAGCATAGATTTGCCCGGTTTCCGAGGTATTATATCACTGCACCGAGGTAGTTCGTCAAATGAATAATGTATCCATTGTTTGAATGTGTACAATCATTAGAATCTCTAATGTCCTTTTCGATTACCAATCATTATTTTCTAAGCTCCCTTAAAATGTAGCTGTATCATCAGGAAATGCTTTCACAGCTAATAAATAACATTTAAAATTATTCGATCAACTGTTGAACTTCGCCCTATACAGAGCAAACGGGGGTTTAGATGAAAACGACAAAGAAGAACTGAGCAGCTGTTTCGACGTAGTAATTTTTTGATTTTTTACCAGCTAAATGATAAATAAAGCTCTACTCTCTTCTGTGGTAAATTTTATTGCTAAATCGTAAAATCAGATACACTGAGCTTTCTTTTAAATCGGTATTGATTTTTGAATGATTGCTGATGAGTAGCGTTCAACCCAGATTTCGTCAATTTCGTCCAGAACAAAAGTTTTTGTAGTCCTAATTCAAAACGGGTAGACTGAACGTCTACCTTCGATGCACAAAACCGTACGGAAAGCACTTTGTGTCTCCGTATTCATCGTATTTGTACAAATGTTTTACACGCTCGTTTGTGACCTCAAATAGTCAGCAGGAAAAAGTATAGGATCACATGGCGTTTATATCCGTTTAATTTATGGGACGTAACTCGTGACCAGTCTGAACAAATGCAAATCGTAGCATTATCTGAGTAAGAATCAGGCTTCTGACACTTGAGTGTATACTCACGTACCAGTCAGAAGCGCTTTCAGACTGCCTTCAGTCTACGAATTCTTACCTCACAAAGCGCATTCAAAACACCCGCCAAAATCATCTTGACTTTGCACGCCGTTCTGCGTATGAAGGTGCGTATGTGTGTTTGTGTGTGCGGGTGCGCATATGCAGTAGGCATTGAAGCTTACCACTGAAAGCCAAACGTGGTCGCTGCACTTTGACGGTAAAAGAACAGTGAGGTATGTTCTCTGAGCACGGTAGCCGACAATTGCCAGTTCCATGCTTCACTGATACACGCACGCAATCCCACGTGCACAAACACACACTCGTCTGTATCAGGCTGAGCTATGTGTGTGACTATCCTCTCGCCTTCTCCCTCATGCAGATATCAACAATATTGATCGGCGCATGATGGCACTGCTGACTTCTAAATCTCAGGCGACCCAAAGTTACGTGTGCATGTTTGCTTCACCTATTGCCTGTTAGTACATTGGAATTTTATTATATATAACAGATCTGACACAGTTTTCATCGCGTTTCGTTCCTTATCCCAAAGAATTCAATGGATGCGTTTGTCAAGTCGTTTTTGGCCGTAGATAAAGATGGAAGTGGGAAGATTACAATGGATGAATTGACTCACTATGTGGAAGAGAACCACATGGACTCAATGATGGTTACGGTAGGTGTTAGTCACACACCAGTGGACAGTGACTGGAACATGTCTGCTAACATATACGTTATATAAGCTTGCTGCGTTAATGTTTGGTCAAACACTTTACACTTGCTTTTGAATACTTGTATTGCGTTTCTGAGCAGATGAAGTTCGACAGATTGCATATGATAGCGATCGAAATTTCCACGAATCTCCTTTACCTTGTCCGTATTATCGGCTCTCTTGTATACATTCCTTCGCAATGATGCATATTATACGTTGAAATCTGACTACACTAATTTCTTTAAACTGAAGAATGAGAAAAAAGTATTTGAGAGTAGAAAAGAAATATGTTGCACATATATATTTTGAATTTCTTTATCCTAGGTTTTCCTTCGAATGCTCGTACATTTGATGCTATCAGGAAGCCACCAAATGAATGCCATTAACAAGTTCTGGGCATAAATCTTGCCTCCCGAAATCACAATCGTGTGGCTTTGGTAGAGTTCAAACTATTTTCTAGGCTGAAACGGAGGATTTGAGCCACAGAGTTGTGCAATATCGTTCAATTCGCAACGTGATGCCCAAATCAAAACGATTATCAAATATAGAGTCTGGAAGGAAGAAGTGCATTCCGAGGTGTGGAGTAATAAACACGTTAAATGATCAAATATATATGGTTGTCATGAGGAGGTACGGAGAAAAGTTGATGACTTGGACGATTTCAGGAAAAGCTGAAAGATGTAACCTGTGAAATCGTTATCCCTGCCCCTATTTGTGTGTAAACATCAATGAAATAGCAAACAGACTAGGTCTGTACCAGTCCCAAATCATTGCTTTAATTCTACAGCATATGTGAACTTTACATCCGGTTCCCAATTATGAGTAATCAGTCAATCTCCAAGAGTAAAAGCAAATGCTTCATTCCCAATCAAACCTCCCGTTTTGCTTTTCTTCCTCACACCAGAGGTGGATGCAGCTGTTTGATCCGGACAAAACGGGCTATATTACATTGGAAAATTTCTGTGACAAATTGGGCTTGAAACCGGAGGAAATGTGAGTATGCATCGTATTTTCCTCCCTTTGTTAGTTATGTTTTTTACTTTTTATTCGAATTCCAGGCATGCAAATATGAGTATAGGCAAATGGAAACAAAAATTACAATTAATCACCTGCATTTGCTTTCGTTGGATAGATAACAAAACAGTCTCTTGCTAGGAAGTGTGGGGTTACAATCAAACAAAGGTCTGTCAGGAGACACAAAATTGGGAAGTTAAGCAGTGATTCTGAGATTCACATATACCAAATGTTGCTGTGCTTTGACAACCGCTACCAGGATTACTGGAATCCGGGAGTCAAGGCAAAATGTTTAAAGACGTTACCAGCAGTAGTAAACCAGACATGATATATGCAATGATGATATATCTGACTCGGAGGAATAGACCCTTGCTCAATTCGGACGAAGCAATCTTTCATTGGTAAAATGGCTGTTTTGATTATGTTCTGTAATTGATAGAAAGATTAACAAGAGTTTTTGGGTGTTATAATTACTTTCAAAATCGCTCATTCCAGACATTTGTGGCCAAGTCATTTTTAGTCAGATCACAGCGATCTCCAAACGTTGTATGGTACTGAAGCTTGAATTAGACTCGGGATTACTAACAAGCACAACGAACCGTGCGCAACCGCAACGCACCTAGATTAGTAGATAGCGGATATAATTCATTCAGCTTCTAGGTGGTCAACCAATTGGTCATATCATTTGCATCCTCTCTGAAGTCTGNCTGCCTAGAATAATTAAGGTAGAGATAATATGAACGTAAATTGAAATACATTTTGATCTTGTTAATCATTGGCGGTACGTAGCCAGCAAGCTTCGTAGGTCCGAGGCTTGTGAACTCACTGTTGGGCATTTGGTGGTTAATGTAACGCGGTCATGGTTTCTTGAATGCCGAGGCAAATACTAGAAAACCTTGGTTTTACAGATTTTATTTCTCATCTTGTATAAGTTTAAGTTCGTGAATGTCAACACTTATACACATTCATCATTACATAACTGCAAGTGAACCAGAAAATGGTTCAACTGGTCATGAGAGGTCATGAGCCACAAAACTCCATTCGAAACTGTGCGCTAATGCAGACATTAGCTGACACAGAATACACCACAATACTAATACCGATACTTCTCGGGAATAAAATTATCCTGGGAAAATAAAATGATAGATGAATAGAATCAATTTTATCTTTAGGCCGGAAATCGGATTCATCGTTGTTTGTTTACTCATCCGATCATCGAGATCATTTGCGGTGTGTCAGTGGGGGAGTCAGGACTAGGACCTTGATACTCTTTTGAACCGCATGTGTATAAGCGCTTATTCATCTTTATCTGAATTAGATAACAGAATATGTTCGTCTGCATTGTGAGATATGATGGATATATATTTTTTCTGCATTCTCTTTTCCAACTGCATACTTCCTTCCCCAACATCTACTGTCTCGATCAAAAACGGATATTTCAGTAAAAAACAGCAAATGGAATCTGTCGAGTCCAGACCTCTCCCATCCGATGTCTATGTTATCTATGATAAACTGCCCCTGAAGGATCAGTGGATACTATGCGAGGAGACCAAAAGATTAGTTCGCAACCTGAAAGAAGACGAGGACAGAACTGAATTATCGCGTCAGCTGAAGAACTTTGCCGATGAACGACTGGGTCCACATTGGCAAGTGGCCATTGTTGAGGGCAGCTATTGGATCACGTTCTCCCATCTGCCAGAACATTCATTCCAGTTCGCCTACGATGGTCATGCATATCTGTTCTGGAAAATACCCGCGTAACATACCCAGGTTTCCCCGCTTTACGCGTGCGAAAACGAACCAAAACGAACAAATCGGTTGTTGTAAATTATCACCTCACGGTTCAGATGCTTTGGTTTTACACACACACACGATGAGAAAATTATTTTCTAATGTTTATCATTTCTAATTTTGAATAGTCGGAGTGCAATTAGCGACTAAATAATTTGTTGATCAGTAAAAAGTTAAACTAGCAGAAATCGATATCAACTCATGTTTAATGTTAAAATCCCTTTATAGGAAACTGTCCGAAGTAATCAAAAACTCACGCATATTGATTGGTACTCAGTTTTATCCATCGACTCAAAGGTTATGTGCCTCAGCAGAAGCTATCCGGATAATGACAACATAATGTCATTGGGGAAATTCGTCGTGTATATAGAGAATAAAGTGTGAACTGAAAAGTTAATGATACACTGAACAGCTGTTTCGACGTGGTTGGGTCTCATCAGCAATGCTAATCCCTCGATCCAATTGGAAATCGAACCCGAGACCTCACAGGCAGACATGCTACCCACTCGGCCACTGAGCAACCGATCAGGGCGTTTTTCATTTTCCATTTGCACGATATAGCACAACCCATCTTTGCGAGCTTGATACGGGCCAGGGACCTCGCTCATCTCAGCACTAGCCTCCGGCTTATGACTCGGGGATTTTACTCGGTTGGAAACAATCACAACCTGACTACTTGTTTCATGTGGGTAACGGAGGTGTTGATTCAATTCCAAAGGGGTGATTCGTTGTGTATAGAACCAATGAAGCGTGAACTGAACAGCTAGGAAGCACTGGACAGCTGTTTCAACCTGATTGTCTGTGGATGCAAAGGCCTCGGTTAACATTACCGTCACTCACCATTATCAGAAACATCATTATAAACTTTTGAACTGCTACAACTTGAATAACCATGATTATTGATCGCTCATATAAAATCAACTGTTTCGTGTGCACACTGATGATGTGACTTCTTTAAGTCAGACGACCGTTGTTTAGCATAGACCCATCCATGTCGACTGTTTAAGAGCCCCGGAAAATTGTTCAAGATCCCTAGTCAATCAATATTAGATAGTAGTGATTGTGTCAATATATTCTGTGTGAGTATGGATTTAATGATGCTCAGTTAGAAGCCAAAATCGATAATACTAAAACAACCGTTACCAAGCGTGTGACCGTTTACTCCCCACCGGTGTGGAATCACTTATCTCTACACATATAACGCCGTATAGTAAAAAATACACCAAAAAGGCTGAAGCAATACAACGACAACAAAATGATTCAATAGATGTGTGGAAGACAACGAATATATGAGCATCACAATACTCACTTTTTTGCTCATACATGCCTGGACAGAATTCCACGCAACCAGTTGTCTCTAATAATTTTCAATCACATCATTGAGCTTCGAATAAGCAGGAGAAGTAAGCAAATTAAACTAATTCTGTGAATATCCAAATCAATCAGAGGTAAATAGGTAAATAGGCACAACAGAAAGTAGTTTGCGTTCATGGTGCACCAAATTACACGACTCTGAAGGGCAGGATTCTCTCTCTAATTCATACAATTTGGGAAGTAAGTTGGAGGGGTAAGAGCTGCCAAGGAGGTCTCGTTGCTCATTTGATATATATATATATATATGCCCTCAAGAGTGGGTTTGAATACCACGAGGAATACTAATCGTTTGGTAATTCAAACTCGGCAGTGGTCAAGTGGTCAAGGTCATCGAAATAGCCACCCGGCGGTCCTGGGTTCGAACCTGGCCACCACCACTCGCTTCCCTCATTTTTGTCTTTCTTCATGCAGACTTTGTATGACTACGATTCCTTTCTAGAACGTTGGATGAACATGCTCAATAAATCAAAAGGAAGTTAAAAGTTGATTTATAATTATTAACTCACAATTCATTGAATAGAACTACTGGTACATATGCTTTTTCATCCTCGAATACCGCCAGATATTGCGGTTGACCGTAACATACATACTGTGAGCAAGTCGATTATTATGAGTGTAGTCTGATGCACATTTAATCCGATAGTATGATAATCACGATTGATTGGAGCAAAGTGAAATGATTACCAGCTGATCAGTCAAGCGTACAAGTTAATGAAGTCACTCGAAATGAGCAGGTAGAATTACATGTTGAATAAATGACTGGATGATTGTAGGAAACTGCATAATTATGGAAGTAAGATTTCAATGGATGATGTAAAATAAGTTTGGGAGCTTTCCATGCAAACGAACAGAGTGGGTGTTTTTGATCGCGTATGTCCCTTAATTGCCAGTAGAAGTGAGCGTGTGGTATATGCGGTCATACGGAGCTATACGTCTTGAAGTCGAGCACTTGTGAGTTGGCTCTTAAGTAACCATAAACAAATGTGTTCACGAAAACTCAATCCTCTACATTGTGTGACGGATAGTTCGTAAATACAAAGTGAGGCGATGGGGATTCCTAGACACAAGCCCCGTCATTTTCTATTTTCGTGTTTCGTACAAATCAGCCCAAAATGTGCAACTATTTCATGGGTTTCACATTTTCTTGCATAATCAAGGCAATCCTCATTGGTTCCCCCAGGTCATCAAGTGATTAGTGACTTGGGGTTTTACTTGCGAATCCCGGTTTAAATTCCCGTTTGGATCTAACTGTTAACGGAAACCCACAAGGTTGGAGGAGCTATACAGTACTTTTCAGGTTTTCACTTCGCAGTATAACAACGTTTGCGCTGAGATGAGAAACGAAATATCCCATAGTTTCAAATTGCTAAGCGTTATCTAGAGTTTATAATCGCAACAGGTTTATGACAGGAGTATAATAAATAACCCGGAAGAATTGTATCTCGAGGTGGTTTCCAGTACCCATAATTACAACAGTGGCATTGTTTATGGTAAAAAAGTAATTACTAAGATAAGGAAATCTGTTATTGTAGTTGGTCACCTCAGTCATTCTAAAGTTCGCTAATCATTAGTGGGTTAAATGAATGGAATGTTCGATCGTCAACTCATCTGATAAAATACTAACATACTGCCTAAGTTTTTAACCGTTATATCGCTTCTCATACGCCCGTGCATTTCATCATCACGAGGGAATCCGTTGCAAATTAAAAGTTACTAACAGATATGGCCGGAGGTAAAATAAAACGCGAGGGATAAAACGCTCAGCCATTTATTATCTAGTTCACTGATCTCAATCTACGTATTTCCAGTGAATAATGGAAGATGTGGTTCATTTTAAAAGCTGATTTCGTTGTGTATATAGCAAATGAAGCGTAAGCTGAAAAGTTGGGAAGCACTGAACAGCTGTTTCTANTATCTGGTTGAGTTCCATCAGCAGTGCAAATCCTTCCATCTAACTGGGGATCGAACTCGGGACCTCACAGACAGAGCGCAAGCTAACTACCCACTCGACCACCGGGTAGCTGATCAGGGCTTTTTCATTTTCCATTTATCAATCTACTTTCATTGCTCAAAGTTGTTTGAAGAAACAGTTTTTCGTACATCCGCGTGACGCACATCAACCAGACATATTCTTTAGTAAATTGTCTAATATTCATTTTAGGGAAGATTTTTTCCTCCAGGGGTAATGGAGGCTAAAAGCACCTACTTCACTGAATGTTAAAATGTTTCAACATTGGAAAATACATTAACTTTGTTTTTGAACGCATCATAGTAGGCTTCACGCCTTAAGACCAACTATTTTTAATCTTTCTCACATTTAATAATTCCTCTTAACGATTCATAAATGAAACAGTCGTATCTGCTTTACTGCTTTCGGTCAATAATCTGAAACGAACATCATTTTACCTGAACGGAGTTCCATAGGATCCTGCTATCTTTATGTTGCTTTATTTATTACTTAACGTGCAGATATGCTTTTGCATCATCAATCGAAAGGTATAAATGAACAAAAGGATATCGATCGCCCGACAAATTTATCATATAGACGAACACCGCATCTTAAGATGGTTAGCAGATAAGCACACATGAGTAGGTGTGAGGTTATCTGGTCAAAATATTAGTTCAACTCAAAAATGACTGAAAACGAGAACAGTTTGTCTGTCTCTCATCCCTCATGACATTCGTCCTGAATTGACTTAGAAATTATGGTGCGGGATTCTTACCTCCTGATACTAATTACCCTGAACATAGATTTCAGATAAAAGAAATCCTGAATTCTTGTCTCCATGACAGTCTAAGATGCGATCCGCCCTCATCAAAACATGTATGGAATTTGAATGAACCACTTTTTATTATGGTGCATGCGCGACATATTCCAGCAGAACTCACCTGGTTGTGGATACGGTAGATTATTTCCAAGTGGCTTTATTATGCGGGAGCAGAGACGCTCGAAATTCGATCTTCTCACTTGTTTGAACATACGCACGCACAAATACAATCATTCAGATACAAGATGGCATCAAATGATAGATGATTGAGTATCGGATGATCATTCAGGCAATGAATGGAAGGCAATGATTTTGCTGCTTTTTTGTTGTTGCTGCTTCTGCTGCTGCTGCTGATGATAATAATGTGATGGTGATCAATTTAATGGTATCTTCGTTAGGATTGTTCAGGCAAAGCGACCTCGAATTTGCAAAAAGTCCGGTAGACGAAACAGGCTGTTTTTCGGGCTATTAAAATTATATACGGGTATATATGTTTGTCGATCTGGTTTTGATTGCATCAAACTGACTACAGAACGTATGCTAAGATTGTTTGCCTGATGCTTCCCTCGTTTAGTGCATTCGTACATCCCCCGAGGATGGGTGGGTTTCTTCATTCGAGACCACGGCAAGGCTAGAGTCCGAACGAAACTGCTGTTGGTTGCACAGGGGGGATCCAATGTGGTAATGGGCATTTTTCATTTACTGAGATCACGAATTCGCTTACAGCAAGCAATTTAGACTATCAACAGTTGACAACTGTTAGTGAATGCATTATTCAGTGCATAAAAGTTTGAGAACGAAATACAACAGCGGACGCGAATACTTCAGTTTGAATCCCGCTAACACATTGTTTATCATAAATCTCGTATAACAGAAGATAAATTGACGAAACTGGTTAACAACACACACAGTGGCCCATTCAAGTGACCCGCTTGAACGAATTCAAAAAACGAAATGACTCTCCCGGGTTTCCGGGTATCAGTCGGAAGTAAGAAAATTATTACGGGGTTATAAGTCAGTAGCATAAGGCAGCGGGTAGCACTATGAGGATCAGATAGAAATGTAAAATCAGAAGGGAAGTCAAATGTTGAGCAACTGAATGTTCACCCAGCAGGAAGCGGAGAAATGTGTATTGGTGTGATAATCGTAATAGTATTGAATATCGGAATACAAGAACCCGTACTATAGTACTCAGAACTGGATCGGCTCTAACCCGAACTGCGGACACCGGTGAAGTACACGGAGAATTGGTAGCAACAAGTGTCAATGTTTATTCATAGAAATAGAGCATGTTTTATGAAAAGAAATAAGCCATATCATTGATTGAAGGGCCATTGTCCAATCACGTAACAGTTTGTGCAGACGCATGTCATGCCCTAACTCTGATGTAATGTTCGCGTGGTGCACCGCTAGTCCAGCTTCCTGAACCTTGATTGGATGGCATGAAGTGGTACCTGGTCGTACTTGGAATGCGGTCACGTGTGTTTGGATCATCACAGTTAGCTGCTCCTTCTAACTTGGCGTTTGCTACTGCAGATAAGAAAGCGATCACGCGCGCTTTCCTTCTTGTGCACTAATATCTGTCCGATTAGATCAACCACTATTGTGAATGAAACCTGGGTGCTTGTTCGTGTCTGACAGTAAACAATACTGTCGAAATATTTCAAATATTGTGGGAATGGTTGGCTGTTGCGATCCCTCCAGTATACCTCACGAACTCCGAATCAATCCAACCACAAAGCAATCAGTCCTATTGTGGGCCGCTTGTAACTCAAACAGCATCTTAAGCGGTGTTCAGACTCAAATCAAGTCAGTCTGCAAGCCGATCGCTAGAATCGCAACTGTAATGATCTTGTGTGCTCGTTGATGTGCGCGTGTTGAATCGTTGTGATATATCCGTAATCTGCTACGCTTGCCTCAATCTGTTCGTCACACACAATGATGTGTAAAACGCTAACGATTAGCTGGGGTGTCGGGTGAATTCTGGGGATGAGCTTTCAGACATACTATGATACACAGGAGTTCACTGTTCTTGACAGGCATACAACTGACATGGAGCAGGGCGGTTTATTCTATTAGTAGAACGCGAGAGAAACTTGTCAACTTCAATTCAACAATACAGTTATGTTTGGATCCGGCAAATTAATGCATAAAATAAATATTTTCCTGCATGGATCTTAGGTACTTTCAGTTCATTCAAATAGGCTACCTTGAATAACTGGAATAAACATCTCTTGGTTGGGGGTGCCGCTGCTTTCAAACGAAAAGTACACCCCTGTATACCCCTTCTAAATCAGCCATAGGTGGCTTCAGTGACCTCAGTCGGTTGGCATACTTCGAACTGTTAACCTTTCAATACGAGAATGGTTATTCATTGGTATTCATTTCGTCTCAGCAGTTACATCAAAGTTACTGGAGAACAATGATGATAGAGGATACTGCTGTGGGCTGGTTGCACTTCGCACCTCACTTTCACACATAATCCTCAGTTCATCAGTTCAACCGATAAATTGGGAGTGTATAACTGGATGAACTGAGGTTTGTGCTCATGCTGAATTGCGAATGATTATCGGTCCAAATCAATGTCAATTGTCACTCACCAGATAACTCTGAGGTAAACCAGTTGCAAATCATGTTAAGCAGGTAACATTTCAAATTGCCCAAAATTCATTTCAACTCGGCTCTGTGTAATCCCAAGTTGTTCCTCATTGGCCAATTGATCGAACGTTTTTCTATCCCCATAATAAACAGGAAGGAATTCGAAAGCAGTGCATTCGAATGCTGGTGTCCAACCGCGAAGTTCCTTTGGATATTTTAATTCTTATTGCCGAAACACATTCTATTTATCGACAGCTTAGAGTTTCAGTTGCATGTAAACTAGCAAACCGATATGATCTCAGATTAATCTATTTAGTGCATAGAGAAAAATGAAAGGAGTCCCCGGGATCGTTATAATAATACAGAAATCATCACCATGATGCGCATTGTATGCCATATTTTTCGACACAAACTTTTTTAATGATACGTAATCATTGGGTTTCATCCCCATAGTTTCTCCTAGAATGAGGATTCCAAGACGAAAATTACAACGCATACTAACTGGGCTACTTTGTTTCACTTTGAAAAGTAGCATGCAATTGAAGAAATTCAACACTGGTGTTCGTTTCCGAATCACCGAATCATCTGGCATTTCCGCGATACCATTTTTGACCAAAGTTGAACATTCAGGTATTTGGTTACCTGCACACTAAAAGAACAAATGAGAGCAAATGTTCGTTGGCAAGCAAGTTGAGGCTCTTAGACGGTGGTACCCCGATTTTATAGATCACCCACTTATCACCCCCAAGGGCGAGTTTTTAAATCCCACCACCATTATTGCCTGACTTTCTCCATTCCGTGTTGTATGACAGCTCTTAGAGTGATCACTTCCTCATTCCTGAAAATTGAATCATTGTAAATTCATTTACAGGAATTAAAATGAAATTATCCTCCGGGGAATTCGCATATGCACATTTACTACGGAGTAACAAGAACGGTGTTTCTGGCCTGGGGTGGGTTCTATGATTTCGCAAGCGAATTTGTTGAGAGACCACTTTACTGAGAACTTTATTCTGATTGCAAAGTTCCGCAACTCATCGAATGCATTGAGTCTATCTATCCACCCACCCTCAATGGATAATACGTCTCCCATGTTGATCTCGTCAAAGCTAATCTACCAATTCTGCAGTGAATCTGTGGTAACACTTACGTAGGTAGCAACTTTATAACAAAATCAAGGAACATCAATCCATATGGAAGGTGGCACAACGAGAGTCCCGGCTAGCGAACGAATCAAGAATGGGGCCCATCCAACCAGATGCGCTGACGTGGCGACTGGAAGTACTTCGCGAGACAATGCCGACTACCACTCAAAGCGAACGAATCGACAATTACAGTCCGACGGACAATCCGCATCTGGCCAGAAAGATATCCACCAAGTACCACAACGTCGGAGCTGTCGATCAACTTATCTCGCGCTACGATCGGGTCAAACCAGTCGGAACGGCATGCGGAAGAAGAAGCAGCATACGTGCCAAGTGCGGACCAAAACCAACAAGGATTGACCAATGAGGTATGAACCAACCTGCTGCAAGGTTAAGAATTGATTGTATATAACTGAACGCATACACGGGTTGCTTTTGAATTGGATCAATAAACGTTTTGCCAGCCAACTCAACTTCTCGTTACAGTATGACTTGACCATGTTTAACTAGGCTTTCTGTGCGGAAAACAACAAAGAGCTCATTTTGTGTAGTGATGAATTCGGCTTTGAATGTACACCACTTTCGAGGGCAGAACCATGCAACAAATAAGACCAGATTTTCTCAATCTCAATCGTGCTGTTCATCTTGAAAACCGTATTTTCTTTCGCATAACTGTGTAAACAAACAGGAGTGGGTTTGTTAAATAAAACAGATAGTGTTGTTTGTGCTGTGCATAACCAAACGTTTTTGCTAGCCACCGCTTTTACTCCGATGTATTAGTTATGTCTGGTCGATTGGCGTTTGCCATACAAGGAAATGTAACCCTTTGATGCGAAATTGAAATGATTGACCACGAACATGAGAGAAATGCATCCAAAATGATCCACGAACTATGATCACGTGCCATGCACGGCCGTACTCCTTATCCAAATACATTTTCAACTCCTTNCCACTGAAGCATTGTCACCGCCGACCCGTAATAAACGTCTTGCCTCGTTGCTCACATTGATTTTCATACCGTGTTGCATATCCGCCGCCAACTCTTCGATATCAGCCCCGAGAGGAAACTGGCTAGATTCCTGCGAAATGGTGCTTCGACGCCGGATTAATCTGTATTGAAAGAGTTGTGCATAATTAGTGCGTCGGCCAGATAAGGCCAGGGATGCATAAGAAAGACAGGGCGTTGGTATGTTAATGCACAGACAAACGGTTTGTATTGCAGCGATTTTAAACCGGAAATGACGGAATACAGTGAATATTTATTCATAAAAATAAAGCGTAATTTGTTCTAGTGAAAGACCAGGCATACTTCTTAATAGGTACCAAAAAATGCTTAGCTCTCTGAGTGCTTCATGATTTAGAATTTGAACGGTGCTCTACTGTTAGTTGACAGAAAAGAACTAGAAGTATTGCATACGGCGTTCACTGTTCTACTTTGCTCAATTTCCAGTGCATCCGGAGCGTGTTTTGTCTTTTCAATAACTTTACAGATCTATTCAAGCGCTCTAGAGTGGCCACATATTCCACGTTCGCAACCAACCACCCCAAATCAAGTAGATTTTGTGTGAACCCTCATTCATGAAAAGATTGATGAACGATTATTACTTGACACTTTAGTGATTTAAATTTCCTTAAGGTTTATCTACGTTGGATATTAGATTGTGGTCAGTATCTGTTGTTATTCATGGACATCCACAACTGTTGTTTCGTAATTCAATCACATTTCTCCTGACATCCACCAAAAGGCTTGTTACTGTCTAAATATCTTCGGGTTTCCAATGGTAAGTTCTCTTTCAGGTTTTCGCCCGCATCTAAGTTTCCATCTCATCTCAATCTCGCCTGAAAACTGGGCTTTTCTCATCATTCTAATATCTTTCCACGGTTCGCTATAGTTGAGGTTTCTCATTGTACATCTTCGACCATAAAAAAACAAGCGCGAAGGCAGAAAAGTTGCCCTTATTGCACAAATTTGGCCAAAGTGACTGTTCCATCATTGTTCAGCTTGAAAATTCTATTTCTGTTTCCTAAAATGTTATTGCATTTAACCATACCCATTGCAAGTACAGTTATCTGAATATCATTTCAAGTTGTCCGGGTATCATTTATTGTTTTTCTGAGCCTCATTTCTCTTTTAGAACGGGAAAAATACTAGGGAACAGTACAACTAGTGTGCAAGAATGCAGGCTGTCATAAATTTATGAATTCTTAAACGTCTTCCTCGTTTCAGTGGAACTTCCAAGACCGTTTTGACTGATTTTATTACGTGCAAGTATTTTGATTCATGAGATAAATTTATCAGCCATAGATTTCCAAATAAAGAACTCTGCCTGCCTACCCATCTCAATAAATCTGTGGCTCAGCCCAGTACACGTTCCAAATTTAGGTTTCCTTATGCACGTAGCACCACATACCAAAATAGCAGCAACCCTTATTTTGCTCGCATATTAGTAAACCGAGCAAATATCATTACTGATTTGTAAAATCATCTGTCACATTAGGATTTGGTCACGTCCATTTGTTTTGATTAAGTAAACGTTGAATTTTTTCAATGTTTGCCTTTTTCATTGTAATCTGTCGAAAGTGCTGAAAATCCACCGTGTTGAGTGCGCAAAGCTTAACTTGAATTTGCTTGGCTATTCGACTCGCTTTATTTGACAATAAGCTTATTCAAAGCCAGTTCATATTACCCAATTGTGCATATCATATCTTCGTTCTTATGCTACAGGCTCAATTCGTCTGGCGGTTGTTTTAATAGGACTATTTGATTTCAACGATAAACATTATCAATTTCCGAGTCCATACTCCGGCAAGCGCATTTTGAAAACGTTCCAATTTTTGGAGTTACTATTTCTTACAAAATTCCGTAACTATCCCAAAATATATGGCATATTTCGATAGCTTTCGTTACGTTATTTCAATTGTATTTGGTTTGTTAGAGATTTCTCATTCCTTTCCGGCCATATGACCAAAATGGTCATTTGGAATGTTCAGCAAATGGTGTTTCTCTTGTGGCATTTCTGAAATGGAATACAACCAGCAAGTGTCAAACTAATTGGATATGCATTGGGTCAACAACAATGACTGTGTCGATCAAGCAGAATCAATTGGTGTCCCAGTGCAGCCGCTTGAGTTGTAGCTCATGAATTCTACTACAGCGTCATGCGATGGACGTAAGCAATAGCTCATGAGTTGATCGCGCGTGATCCACTGGTATCAGCGTAGCGTGGCCCGGTCTGACTTTTCTGGGAGTGGGGGACGAACACACGCACAAACAGACCTAGGGAAGCGCACGCGTACTAGTAACGTATACAACCAACAACAAATGCATGTCACGGGTATTCGGGTGTACGACCGGGGCACGCCACACAATCGTCACCTCCTCGCTTCAACCGGAGGTGACTTTAAAAGTGCATAGGCCTGCAAACTCCGATGCGGTCGATGAAATTGCTTGAAATGACGCTCAGCCGACACGAATGACGGTCATACAACTTGAAATGATGCCCAGTATTCTTCAAATGACAACCGAACGTCTTGCAATGTTATTCGAACAACTTGAATTGAAGAGTGATAATGTGCTCCGTTCAAGAAATCATACCAGCAATCGTACAAGAATCCTAGCTGAATAAGGAAATAGATCATACTCTAATGTCGATAGAGGGTTATCAAGTTTATCATTTGGTTTTTATTTATCAGCTATACGGATAGCAAAAAGATACATGCATCATGGCTCACAAGGGCCATACTATGCAGGTAAATACCTTCAACAGGTAGCGCTCGAGTGCTGGAGGCACGACACTTCTTGATTATACGGTGCGATTGCTCCATCGTTTTCGATCGTCTCGTCCCTCACCTGTGACCTTAAACAAGTAAATTCCCTCTGACCCTTTCTGTGATCTGATTGGATCATATTCCGCGATCTGCGGCGCTTGAAACCCCTCACTCTAACACGAGACTGTTTGATTACCGGCTTGTACGTTTTCTAATGCTCTTGTTGTTACGTCCAGTCCATCCGAGTGCTGATGGCACACCTGCTACACAGGTCGAAGTTCACTGGGCCTGCCTGAGACTCTCAGCTGTAAAAAAGGTGTGGTTTCTCGATCGGGTTAGCTGGCCAAACACCAGGTCCCTTGTTATGGCTGAACCATTCGACCGATCGATAAATGAACCCGGTCGATCGTGTGATTTTCGGGCAGGCACAGGAGGAGGATAGGTTCCGTATCCGATGCCGCCTAACTGTTGGTAGAGAATCACCCCAAGAGAATCAGTTGTGGAGCGGGGTGCCATGTGGGAAATTCCGAATGGAAAATGTTTACGCGATTATGGCACTGAGCCAACTAGGAGCTTTAGTTGATTCCGAACTACAGCTATACCTATCAAAAACGGTGGATTAAATTGAATAGTGGTTGGAAGTTATTTAAATAAGCACAAAGTTAATTGTAACTCTAGTGAGAAATCTCGGTCAATTTAGCGTGCTTATTGTTCTTTCAGCCTCGTTTTGTCCTGGAAACCCTTCTGTGTTTTTATCGCTTGATACGACTACGGACAAAGCCTTTTGCAACCTTTTCTTCCTGCAAGCTTCGAAGGATTGTATTTAATGATTTCACAAGTGACTCCTCCTGAATGTTACATTAGGCTTTGATTAACAGAAAAACGTGATATATATATATATATATATATATATATTTGAATGAATTTCGTGGATGATTACGATCCACCAGGTTGATATCGAAATTTCAGTTTCCGTGAGAGCACCATTAAATATATATCAATGTTCTTTGATTTAGGCTTAGAAATTCCCTTGGGGTTTCTTGTTAATTTAAACCGAGTTCACAGATGATACTTCGAGTTAAACCGGAAATCCAGTTTCATGGATTACATCTCCAGCTAGAGACAACAGATTAAGTACAGCCCCAGTCACCTGAAAATTCCACATCCGTTTAAAAGGTGCCTATGATATTAACTAGATGAAAGCGTGACTAAAATAACCAGATATTGGCTGAAATTAAAGGCACTGAAAACCGGTCGAGTAATGCTCGTGTGTTACTAATATCTAAACGTTTTCAGTCGATCAAAACCGTTTTAAGGTTGAGCATTCATAAATTTACTGCACTGACAGTTAATTTGTTATATTTTCCAGGCAATCATATTTGATTTAAAAACGTGTTGTTGCCCATTTACCGTAGCAGATAGTTTTTGTCACTGTTTTTGATCAATCACTATGATGATTTTAAAAATTGAATTAAAAGCCTGGTTTCTGTTAAATAACTCTTTAGTCCTGGCTGATTTACGCTTTACCGGTGCCACTCAGGACACTGACTCTGGCACCCAATTTTGTTGACAGGTAGCTATGCTAAATTTTGGTCAAAATCACGTGTTTTATTGGAACCCGTGTGATATACACTTTTGTGAGTGTCAGGCTCAAGGCCTCCGGTTTGTATCAATGAACAGTTAGTGCTTATCGCCATGTGCTTTACGCGTTCTGCTGTTCATCACACAATGACATTTAGTAAAAGCATTCTGATAACAACCGAAAACTGGTAAACATCAAATAACACGGGAGCTCACGCTTCATCCTGTCGTAGTCCGAGCACGTCACAGAACTTTTGAAGTGTAATCCTTCCGGTTGACTCCGCTCCGAAAAGCGTCTTCCATCGCTGAACAGATGTTAGACGCACAAATAAAAAACAACATTTATTGACCGGTTAATGTTAAAGGAAAAAATATATTAATTCATTATTCATCTATTTATTTCATATTATATATAATAAAATATACAAAATTCACATCTGAGCTGCGTCCGTTATGTCGGAAAACCCTCTTGCGTAGGATGTGAAACAATGTTAGGTAATTCTCTTCTAGATAATCAACTTTTTACCGAAAAGTTAGAATCGTGTTTGAGATACCCCTTTTTAGATACCAAACTAGAATATGCGAGTCAGGTTTCAAAACCACAGAGTTGGTAGTTATCATTCAGAGAACGATGAAAATTATAACAATCATAGAATACGAGGCCACACCGATAGCACTGATCTTTTCACATTCGAATTTACCCATCCAACTTACAGAGGCATGTAGCATCCACCAGTTAGCATGTAAGCTGACTGCCCCGACAGGTTTTCCTTAGAATTCACCGGACTCCACCTAAAGAGCTTCTAAGACAAGGTGAATTGTTCAAATAGTTGTTTGGCAGATTTGAAGTTCAGTAGTTGAATGGGTAAATTCGAATGTGAAAAGATCAGTGCTATCGGTGTGGCTTCGTAGCTCAGCTGGTAAATCATGTGCGTACAAAGCGTAGGCGGCGTCCATGCGTGGGTTCGAATCCAACCGAGGCTACTGAACTTTTCACAATCGACATACGAACTTCAAATCTGCCAAACAACTATTTGAACAATCATAGAATACTTTGATTGGTTGTTGTGTGTGCAGAATTCATATGTTAATAGGTACAATTGAATTTGTGGAACCCATATAAAAGGCAATGCTCAGAAACAAGTGGAATTTCAATGAGATTCACACGCAACAACAGCGGTAAATGAAGTGCTGCGTAAATTGATGGTGAAGAACTGCGAAGTTTCCAGTCACCTTTCTTTCTCGTGGAAGACTTGAACTTAAAAGACTATTTTTCTAACAATCTTCATTTTTTGTGAGGCCAGCAATGAATCAGAAAACTGCGTAAATAATACGGGGATTGGTACCTAATTCCAGATTCCACTATCCTGATAAAATCTCCATATATCACTATATTTCCGATATAGTATCAGAAAATTTAACTCGTATACAGCTCACTACTCATAAAATATAATCAGTCGTATCATGTTTAGCAAACAAACTAAACAACGAATAGAGTAGTTTCGATCATTCTTCTGTGGTAGCTATCTGATCAATTGTTCAACTGAGTAGTAATTACAAAAAAGGGGTAGAGTTAAATATAGACTAATGTATGCATAATTTTTTTACGGTAGGAACAACCGGATTGTCATTGCAGGCATTTTTCATTTGAAACATTTCATTTACCCTTAACAAAGTGAAGCTATTATAGATGACTGAACTTCCTCGGCAAGGAATCTGCTTTCTGTTACTTAGTTTTAATCCTTTTAACATAAATGATTTTTAAGTTTATTGAAATAGGCCAGAAATTGGCTGCAAATTGTACTGGATTGGAAATTAGTGCAACCTTTCGTAATAATTATTAAATGATATACAGCATCGTATAGTAAATTTCGTCAGATACAGAGCAAACGAAAGGCGAAATGAAAATCTAGGGAGCACTGTACAGCCTGGTCGACCTGGTCGGGCCTCATTAGCAGTGCCAGTCCATTGACCCAGCTGGAAATAGAATCCAGGATCCCAAAGTTAGAACAGATAGATTAGTAGATAGACAGATAAATAGATAGATAAATAGATAGATAGATAGATAGATAGATAGATAGATAGATAGATAGATAGATAGATAGATAGATAGATGGATATATCACTAGAAAGATAGATAGACAGATAGATAGATAGATAGATAGATAGACATATAGATAAATAGATAGATAGATAGATAGATAGATAGATAGATAGATAGATAGATAAATCGATAGATTTTCAGAATTTCTCTTGGTGATGCTAGTCATTTTTGGTCAGGCAGTATTGGGTTTTGTTCACAGGAACACGAATTCAGAATGCTCGATTGCAGAAGCAGTTAGTGAGTTATCCTGCTGGATCACAACTCATTGCTTCCCATAAAATCTGTAATTGCTTCATTGAAGAGATACTTATAATTTGAATTTTCAGGAGTGAGGTTTGCAATTAATTATAGGATGTTCGGTAGACATGTGTAACTGAAGACCTGAAGTGACAACGGGGCAATCCAAACATAGATATCTGTAAGTCTATGTGAAGTAAACCTAATTAGATTGGCTGGTTTCGCTAATTACTGTGTTAAATTTGCATCAATTAGGTGATACGTGTTTCTTTTCTCAGAAGCATATCTCACACTGGACACAGTTATTGTAAACTTATGGAGCCCTTTGAACGAATATATGTTCAACAGACAATGGATGGATTGCAAGTGAATTCCACACCGACGCGAAACCTGTAAAACTCAAAGGTAGGTAGACTAAGAAGAATTTCTATTGAAATTGAACATTTGTTTGTCACACTGACCGGCTCTTCCGTGAGAAGAAAGTGCGGATTCTTTCATTCTGAATGCAAATTCACAGGATGTTGACATACCATATTTTAGTATTCCCAACAGTTTTCCCAATTGAAAACTTTTCAGCATTCCCCTGTACCTATGAAGTGAGTTATACACTGGAAATGATGAAACTAGTGACTTCTGAAATTGTGAGAATTTTGTATCGCTTTGATTATCTGCTGTTGTTGCGCCTATCCATTTCAATTCGTTTCGTGTATTGGATTACACAGATTTCGTATTTACTCAAACGGAATTTGTTGCATATAAACCCTAAGCTGACTAGAATGTGTTCGGTTTCATTGTTGAGTCTCACTTGCAGCGATGTAACCAAGTCAAGCTTACCGGTATCAAACAAGGATCCAGGTGATTTTTAGCCACATAAGCTGATAAATCTTTCACAGTGATCACCTCATCGTAATCCGTATCAATCTTGAAGAATAAATTGAGAAAATCTTCCATCACTAATATGAGGTACCGAAACTGACCATACTATTTAGGTTCGCAACTTATAAAGCCGTGCTCCGTGGGCGCGGTGTTCGGACCCACGATCGACCGTGGTGAGAAACGATCTAGGCTCTCGTAAGTACATTGAACTTGGGTCACTTCACTTGTTCCAAAAGTGCACTGACAATTGCACAGCATTGCGATATTTAAAGATGTCCGTACTTTAGCAAGCAGCACTTGAATGCTTTTTCTTTTAAACGGTGTCGACTCCGGTATTATGTGCAAAACCAGTGGTAACGGAGCAGAGTACATACTACGGGATTTTAACATGTTGAGTGTATGCATGAGAATCAGTCGTAAAAAGTATCAAATGTACTCCTCTGTCTAAGACAGTGGTATACATTGTAGATGAGTAAATGGATATTTCAGTGCTTGGGATTTCTAATGTATAATAACATTCAGAATTACAATGTATGCTGTGTGACGACCCATTCTGCTGTTTCCTACTATTCGAAAACTGCCCCCTGAATATTAAATGTAGATATATATACTCTTTGAGGGATGCAATAAGTTTGATTCAGGTGTAATAACAATAATCCATACTAATGGATTTCAGCGTTAAATTAAGATTTACAGTTCAATAACATACCCTTTTGGCATTAATTTCAAAAGGAAATACCCAGATGGACAATGCTTAGAAAAAATTATTTGCTCGACTGTTTCTAGAATTTTTTTCCATTTTTAATTCGTTTTAATGAATGTATAATAATACATTTTTCAGGAAGGAGGAAGCGGCCAATATAAGTACTGCTCTGTATCAATGGGGATGCAGTTAGAATCCAGATATGAAGCCCTGTTCAACGTCAATTCGAAACGGTCACATACGACGCAAATTATCAAACAAGCTCACCTTCAGTGCCAGGCAGTCATGCCACAGGAACACGTGGTAAACAAACTATAACAAATATGGATCTGCGATTAAAAGGTAGAATAGGCCGTGTTTGAATGATCAATGTGCGTTGCAACCTAATTTATCAAGGGTCATACGCCAACTGTTTGAGTTCTTCAAATTTACCCGCAATTCGGGTGTCCAGCAAAGGAAGCTTAGATGCTCACACAAGCGGACTCTCAGGGTGTAGGCAGGAGTTATGAAGTTGATTGTTTCAGTTCAGACCAAAATTAAAGAAGGAAGGAAGTGTCGAGAATGTTGTTTTCACTCTTCACACCGATTAGAAATCTTTGACCATTCACGCAGGGTGATTCGTATCACCGAGTTTGGCTTAAGGCCTGACTGCATAAAACATCTCGCTGTGCGATGGCCTTCTGTGTGCAAACTTTACCAAAGATTAATCCTTGAGTGCGATGTGCAAATCACATCGCTTGATCAACTCCCAAATGTGTGCAATTGTTTTAAATAAAATGTAAACCAGGATCGCTTAGTGGACTGTGACGTATAGATGCAAGGCACTTACCGAAAGCGTAAAAGCGGATAAAACTGTGATGTACATTTCCGTGTCCGATAAAGGTAATACCTTGGTAGATATTAGGCAAATAATTTTGTAGTATAACATGCAATATAAGCTATGTATAACCAAGTTCTGAATTCACAGTGTATGTGGACCTTTTTGAGTCTAGAGTTGAGAAGATAGAACTTCTTATTATGCAGCTGTTCTTATGGGGTAAATAGTATAGTTGTTTCATGACCAGGTTTTTACTTGACGACATCACTGCACACCCGTCTGAATAGGTGAACATTCTAGCGAAGAATACGCGGTCTCCATCAAATTCTGTGTTCGCCGAATCAATGAGATAGCTCTGGATGGAGGTAGTAACGAAGAATAGATAATTGAATAGAATATTATTAACGAAAAAACCAAGATTCGAGAGCTTCAGGATCACACTCCTTATGCCTAAGAGCCACACTGACAATTACCTGTACTCGCGAGCCGATTGGTACATCCGCCCTCCACCGCTATTGCAAAGTCAAAAATGCTCAATATTGCTGTGGCTTGGCTTCCCTGATTCTCGTATTTCGAGGGAAAACTAGACAATCCTCACTTTTGTAAACCCCACGTGAGCTCCAACGAATAGATAGATAGGTAGGTTGTCTAAATACATGATACGCATAAATCTAACCTTCAGAACAAAATCAGCCTTCGCTCACACAACTATAGAAGTGAACCTAAAGTTTCATTCGGCTAGATTCAGATCTGACTCCATAGGTTGTCTAGAGGCAGAGGACACATGTTGGCGAACAGTGTACTCCATGGTAAGCTATCACTGTGCGCATCAGACAATAGTCTGATGCGCACAAAATTATTGAGCAGAGTGCATACTTGAAAACAGTTCAGCTTAAATGGAGTGATACAACTGTTTATAATTTATTTTGGATTCAATCGCGGATAATTATATTAGATGCCTCCGGAAGCCCCAGTATGGTCGGAGTGGTGGGTGTCTTGGGTTGTGGCCGGTCCGCCTTCCCTTGCATCTTACGAAATACTCTGACAGGACCAGGCGTCTCAAACAGCCTCTGCTGAGGAAGCCCTACTCAGTGTCTTACAGTGTGAGATGACGAGAAGCTAACACCTGGGGGTGTAACCGGATTGATTAATCACTGGCAATTCACCTAAGGGATCTGGCTAAAAACGCTAATTCCAAAGCAACCAAGAGGACTCGTGCGAACCACACTCACCCCTTCCTGGTGGTGGCATTGGTCACCGGCTGAATCGGGCATCGAGGGTTATTGGGCACATTGGACGTTAGACCCCGTTCAAAGGCCGTATGATCCGATGACCTGGACACCGGCCCACACTGGATTGCTGTTCTCCCACGCCGCCCCGCTGTCTCGTGGGTTAGGCTTTGACTAGCCGAAGGCTCCGGTAGCAAATTGACTAGGAAAATTTACCTTTTTTAGCCTGGACAACCTGATAGTATTCCATCTACAAACAATCCATGGAATTTTTTGTTTTTTATAAAGATCATTGTATCTTTATTTTTTGGCTCAGAATCTGGCCTCGGACATATGTGAAATACAGACAATAATATTAGATTAACACTTGATGATATTTAAATGAAAACTTAGGATGAGCTCAATACTATACATTATTGAGACTAAAGACGACGAAAATAACCATTGTACACTGAGAGCGAGGTTTGTATACCTTGACTTCAGATAATAACTAACCGTTTGGGGTCATACCTGAACTCCGTTCTCCACTACCACTGTCACCTCCATATCAGTCGCTTGCACACAGAAAGACATTTTATACTCATCAATAACAAAAGTGGATTGGGATGCTCTGCACCAGAGTAGTTGAACGGAGGATTTTCGAATTTTCCAGCTGTGAACAAAGTTCACTTTTTGTATAATTGGAATGTCAGTTGCAAGATCTGGTCGTTACGTGGTACTGACCCTGTATATATTTTGTTCCCTTCACGGTACCATAGACTGAATTCCTCTAGGCATGGCGTGACCCTGTTCCTTCATGATTCTTGATTCAGACCATTTCTGTATTTTTTATTCTCAATCCTGACTCTTTCTTTCTCTGTCAACCTCTTGCTAATATACCGCGCCGTACATTGGTAGAGCAGGAATGTAGAATTATTGTGTCATTTACGGATCGATAGCAATGATTCAAAATCGATTGCTTTGTCCTGACCTCTAGGTAACACCACATATCCACACCAAGTTGGTGTTGACTTGATCTGTGCATCCGGTTGCTTCGTGAATGGTTCTGGTTTGTGTGAAACTCATGGTCCTTAATTAGTCCCTCATCAAATACGTGGTTACCTGTGACTACTTTGTCAGCGTTACCTTTATTTTTAATTGAATAGCAACTTTGAACCGAAACTATGTTTCTGCTTTTTTTAACCATGAACCTATCTAAACTGAACAATTTTGGTGCCTACTGGCTGCTACCGACCATCAAAGCTATTCGTTACACCATTATCTGGATCAAAACCAGCGATACTTATCGATCGATACATTGTTGACTTCCACCCTATATTCGATTGATTGTCTCAAACCCACAGTCCAAATTTCTAGACAGAGCGAAGTCCACGGAATCATTCGTTATTTGCCTACATCCTCCATGTGATATGTGCAATCTGTACGATAGTTTTTTTCGCAATCTGGGCGCTGTACCGCTCACAGATTCGTATTCAACTAGAGAGCAACATAAAGCACGGTTTTCCAGGAGAATACAATGGTACCACACTGTTGCTAACCCTCTGCGGCATAATGTGGGTACTGTTAAGATGCATTCCATAAATGATTATGGATTAAAACAGATGCATTGAGCAACTAATTTCATGGGTAGTACAAGTAAGGAAATATAATAGATCGAATCTTTCTTGGAAAACATTTAACCTCTAGCATCTGGGTCACTATTTATAGCTCCTTAGAAGATGGCGTCTAGATTACTAACTTAACCGTACCTCTGAATTACGGCATTTAATTACAGTCAGCCTCCTTCGCTGTCACAACCCTCGAAAATTCATAAAAGTGAGTGAATTCACGAAACTGCCGCATAACATTTTAGATACTAGTACATACTTTTAAGAAGTATGGAAAATCGGTTATAATATTTGCTACAACGTCAACAGAATAGGTGAAAACTGGAATACTTCCGTTACTTGTTCCTATTGTTGGTAAAATAATTAGAACTCCACTCCAACCAGAACAAAACGTGCCCCGGTTAATTTAACCTTCATGAAACGTACTTGCCAATACCAAAGTAGAAGGGTTCCAAATGAAGAAAGTGGAGCAAAGAACCATTTGTCATGCTTACGGCTTGCAGGAAACTGGGGATTCGGGTGGTCTGATTTCAGCAAGATTAGCTAAATAAAGAGCTACAGTTTCCAAAAGGATAACAAGCTACAAAAACCGCTGCTTGTGACCGTCTCGCTGGTAGTGATTTGCTTTCTGTGACAAGCCTCAGGCTAAAATAAACGATATTTTTATGTCTGCAATGAAATCTTGCAAC